GTGCTCATTACCACCATCTCATTCTCTACCTCCACTGCCTCTTTCGAGCTTCGCTCCTCTTCCTGTTCTACACTTTTCCGGCATTTCTTTTTCCGTGCAGATACTTTATTTCTAATTCATATGGTTGCAGTTCTAAGCTTCACCGTAGCATACGGTTTGATACGTTTGTTGCTTTTAGTAGTGATACCAGGGGTTGGTGGTCCGTGCATACGATCACTCTTGCGCCATATATGTAGAACATGAACTTGCGGACAGCATATATTACCCCCAACGCTTCTAAATCCGTTATGTGATACCGCCTTTCGGTTTTCGAACAGGCCTTTGAGGCAAAGTGGATTGGGTGCAGCTATCCGTCCTCCCCCTCTTGAGAAGAGATTGCCCCTAATCCGTTGCTACATGCGCCCGAGTGAATCATAAATGGCCTAATCCCCGTCACTGCATTCCGCACGCTGGGTCCTGCCAGTCCCGGAGTGTTTCTGAATTCTGATAATAGCTGTTTAAAGGCCTTGATCCGTGCCTTTGTCCAATCGATTTTCTCCTCTTTCTTCAGCATGTCATACAACGGCTTAGCAATGGGTGCAGAGTTTCGAATGAATTTTAGGCAGTAACTGCACAAGCCTAAAAACGTGCGTAGCTGCTTCTCGTTTGCCGGACGTGGAAACGTGACAATTTTCTCAGTTTTATCTGGGTCGGGTTTTACTCCTTCGCTTCCTAAGCGATGGCCTAAGAACTGTATTCCCTGTCTATGTATCTCACGTTTGGCGGTTTTCAACATCAAGTTGCTCCGTCTCAATCTCGTTAACACCTCCTTTAGGACTTCTGTATGCCGCTACAGCGTCCTAGTCGTGATGAGAATATCGTCTATGTATACAAATACCTCATTTCCTATTTGACGTAGTATGGGTTGCGATGTTACGATCCCGAACATTTCAAGGACATCCTTTCGTGGGAAAAATCAGTGTCGCATTACGGGTCAACAGGCACAAATCTGTATACTTTTGAGAAAATCTCTGAGTTCCCGCTGTTTGAATGATAATATTTTAAAAATTTGTTAAAGTTATGTGTAAGTTTTAAGACCATTTGAAACTTTTTGTGACTGAAACTACACGCCTGTTGGACTTTGTACCCACGTGGATTACCGCACTCGTACTAAATATTTATGCGATATTAGATGCTTATTTATTAAGTTCAAGCACAATCACAATCGCGTTTCAAAAACAGATATTAGCTAATAGTGGAGTGTATTAGTAGCATTAAAGATTGACACCTAGAATATATAAAGAAATAACAGTTTAGTCGAGATTAAAAAGTTTCGGTCCAATAAGTTACAAACATCCTAACTCACCGCTACATCTGGGATTCGTTAGTGCAACAACGGTTCTGACATAAATTAGTACCTATAATAAACCCAGGCTGGAACGCACCAGGCTCTCCGGTGCGATCATGCGTTTTTGCACTAAGCTCGCAGATCGCTGTTAGCAGGAATGATCGCTACGTTGTAGCCTAACGCTTAGGCTAGTAATGGCCATACTTTGATCCTTACCGGCATTCGGGAGGAAGGGCATCAGCTGGAATGAAGGTGGTACATTATGGAGCCGTACGGACATCCAGGTGCATGATTACCGGCTTTTTGCATGAAGTCCGGTCGTTTCTTCGGTAAATGCCCGCTTTGTGAAAAAATGAAAAATGCAAATTTTTTGCAAAAAATGCAAATTTCCAGTTCACTAAAAAGTAGGAGTATTGCTCGAGCGTTCGTTTTTCAAAAAATGCACGTTCATTTGCATATACGATTGCGGTTAAGGTCCGAGCTGCGAACGATTTTTGGGTTCAGGAACTGTTTGAGGCTGTGAATGGGGAGCTAGAGAGCTGAGTTTAAAACTTTCATCTCGTACGTGCATAGAGAATATCCCTGCAAAGTTTCAGCTTTATACGTTGCCTGGTTCGCGAAATCGTTTGCCGCCAACAAATTTCTTTGGGGATCTCGTGCGTGGAGTTTAGGCGCGTATGGGGAACATCTTAAAACGGGAGGATGACACACTGGGTAGGAACATATATCCAAAGTTTCAGCCTCCCGGCTTTTCTGGTTTCTGAGATGAAAGTGGGTAACAAAATGCACTCGCTTTCCGGGTACACACACATACACAGATAGACACAGACGACCTCTCGACAATATACGTTTTTGCTGGCTGTAGCAGCGCAGTAGCGCTACTATAGCGTTGCACAGCAAAAACGCATAATAAAAGTTATGGATTAACAAGAAGAGAACAAGGAAAAAATAGTAAGAAAAACAAATGGGGGAGTGGAAGGTAAGTGCAGAACTAAATTCAATCTCGGCAGAGCAGTTCGGATGCGCAATCAGGATTAGCCCAGGGCCCAAGCCTTCATCTAATTTCGAGAAGCTTAAGCGTGGTCCGGTCAATAAATATGTAACGCCCAGGCCATAAACGGTTCCACGACGGACTCCTAGAGCGAGGGGAGGGAGAAGAGAGAGGGCTCCTGGGATGGGGGTGATGAGGGTGGAGATAAGAGCTCCCTCTCACCTTAAACTATGCTACAACTTGAATTAGAGTTGTAACACTGCTACTTAGAGCTACAAGCTTTTGTTTTAACTTTAGACCCGGACTTTTGCAGCACTGGTGCCTGTGTCGCTGAGGAGGGGGCAGAGAGGGGCAGGGTAAAGGTCCATTATCCTTCCCCTACTTCGTTGGTTTGCTTGTGATTCAGGTTTAGATCAGTGCTTCCACACTTGCGGATTTGTAAAGAGTAAATAACACCGCGCAGATAAAACCTCGGCACGCCTCAGTTGCTGTCTCGGAGAAATTACTGCTACACCGTTGCTCTATATTGTGACCCTCGCTGACCACGACCATTACTCCCTTCACTTTCTTCGGTGTCTGTGCCTCCCCCCCTCCCCCGCCCCCGCCCCTCTGCTTGACCACCCCATTGCTCTCCCATTCATCTTCCGTGCCTGATGTCCCGGCTGCACTTATCCTCACTACTCATACCTTTTTCAATGCCTCTAGTCCTGGCTGTTCTAATTTCTCACTTCTCCACCCTTGTTTTTGTCCGAATCAGTTTTGTGCCGATCACTTCGTAATGCTTTTTGTGGTAGAAAGGCGTATGTGGATCTGTCTGTGTAGGATGGTTTGCAGTTCTGTGAGCTGGTTCTGGGAATTTCTCACCCTGAGAAGTCGCCTTTTATGGGAAATTTTGTTGGCGATTCTGAAAATTTTTCGATCAGAAGTAATCCCCTCCTGCACGCTTTTTGAAGTCTCATCTCAGAAGATAAGGTCTGCTGGCTTTTTAAATAAATTGTCAAATACTGAGTAACAAGAACTCCCATAACAGGCACCGCTCTGAAAATTTTCTTCTCCGAGAGAAATCGCAAATTTGAGTTTTTTTTTGACATTCTTGTAGAACGGAGTCAAAACCGTCATCAAACTGCCTGTGAGCAAACCTTTGAAAAGCTGTCCGAAGTCCGCTGCGTTTTCCAGCAAGGACAAGCCGTTAATTCGCTTTCTATCATTTCGGTTATTGTCGACTGCCTCTACCTCTTAGAAACTAATTATTGCTTTACATTTGAAGCTAGTTAACTTGAGCCAATCGAATTTGATAGAGTGAGATGATGTCTGTTCTGGTGAGTAAGATTTTGGGAGGTCACTGAGTGTATTGCAGAGCAAAGAAAACCGCGTGGAGATCTGAGACGGTTGATCTCCTTAAGAGAATATAGGTAGTGCATAAAAAACTAGTGTCAGCCTCCGACACAATTGTGCCTGGCCTTTTTATCCTCCGCTAAACTTCGTCAGTTTCTGCGCACTACTTTCAATACGTGCGAGCGGGACTCTTTCCGAGGCGTCCGTATGGTTCTTCTTATTGCCGGGTGGGCGAAAGAAGGAGAAATGAACCGACTTCATAGGAAATTCAGTGATATTTGCGTAGTTGCCATTTATACGAGCACACAGGGAGAGGGGGAAGGTGAGGTTTTCCGAGGAGAAGTGAGGAGGTGGGGAACCGAGCAGGTACCGTAACCTGTGCGAAACAGAACTCACAAGTTGTCCATACTGAATTCCTAGATGTTAATTTTTTGAGGTGTGGTTGTCGGCTTGCGACCTCTCAGTTTCTGGTTTTCCCACACCATTTTTTTGCGTTTTGTGCATCTGTGCAATGCAGAAAACGCCCATTGCTGAGAGGTTGTCTAAGTGTGTGTGTGTGTGTGTGTCTGTGTGTGTGTGTGTGTCTGTGTGTTCATCTGCTCCGATTTTACATCCCGTGACCTACAAAAGCTACAGGGCTGAAACTTTAGGAAATTAACCTGCAATGAACGTGCGGCTCCCCATGTCCAAAATGGGCGCTCTTACCCGTGTGGTACCTACGTACGGGCCCGTCGAAATTTTTTCCGGCTAAGTTGCTAACTGGGAAATCTGGGAAACTAGAAGACTGGGACTTTGAAGGAATGTTCCACGCCCACGTAGGTATTAATGAGCTTAAAACCAGCCCCCGGTATGCGTGGTTCCCACGTACGGATCTATGAAAGTTTTTTTCGAGTAAGTTACTAGCTCGGAAACTTGAGAAGCTGGACGAATAGAATTTTAAGGGGATGTTTTCAGACAGCCCTGGTGGCCAGTTTCGATTCTCTTAGCTAGGAGCATTTGCCAGAAAAACCAATGCCAGTATTGATAAAGACTGCGCGGAACTATGCAAAAAACGCCTCTTCGCACTGACAGTCGGTGCGCTGCCATTTTTTTCCTCTCTCCTAGCCCTCCTCCCTCATCCAATTCATCTCTCGCCTGACTCCTCTGTTGCCCTGTTTCCTCTCCCTCTTTCCTAGTTTCCGACTTCCGTTCTTCGCCTCGAAGAATTTTGAAAAGTTGAGGATCACTTTTTTAATTTTTGCAGGCATTTCCAGTGTGATGTCAAAACGAACACGTTCCAGGAGGGATTTTTCGTTTGCGCCATTCCAAGCCACGTTTTCACGTAGCTTTTGTGCGCGTGTAACTGAAAGACTGTCCGGTGATGTGTACCTAATGCGAGATGCTGAACAGCTCTCAGTACTTTATCAGGTCTTTTTTTTTAATTTCTGCTCGGTTTTTGTTTGCGATTCATGTTAATCGGAAAGGAAACTTTACCTTTGTTTTGGCTACAGGGTATATCAAGTAGTAGCATCCTTGCGCAGAACACGTCTTTGCGTCACATGAAATTTGTGAGAAAATTGTGAAAAAAATAAGACAACGTGGTTGCAATATAACCAAGAGAAAACAAAGAAGAGGGGAGAATGCGAAGCTTAATAATCGCAAATTATCAGAAACATGCATCCAAATAGTCTTAAAGTTCTCTAGTACTTCAGACAGCAAATAGGATAACCCGAAAACTCTGAAAGGGCAAAATTTAAGCAAATTAAGTTGCGACAATTTTCTATAAAGTCATAAAATTTAAAGTCGAATCCTCCTTACATTCATTGTCTGTAAGAGGTGGAGACGCTCAGGATTAAGAAACAATAGCTAATCAAACGTATGGGTGTTGCCGACAAAATTCAAGTTTTGTTAAGATGAAACTAGAGAATTGACAGCAGCTAGTTTCCAGGATACTAAACAAACTTTCATAGTTTACATTTTTCAAAAAATCTGCAAAACACTTATTCTTAAAACATATCCCTTCTAGATGACTTATACGTATTAACTAATGCTTGGAATAGCCAATCACGTATTTGTGAATTACACATTACAGTATGGTGTTAATCTATTTCAACCAATCGATGCTGCAGTTTTTTTTTCCTAGTGAATACGGTAGGGAATGGCACTGGCCAACAACGCTAATTATGCGTTTTTGCTTATGTGCAAATGCAAAACTTATATTGTGACGACCCTGGTGAGTGTGCGTATGTGTGTCTGTCTCTCTGTCTGTCCGGATGTTTCAACTCGGTACCCAAGCAAGCTCCGGCGCCAAAATTTTGCCAGTGGTTTCCCCGACCAAGTGCCACCCCAGGATCACGGTACCAACCCTTACGCAAGTCTGGGCCCCGCATACGGGAGTAAAAGTTTTAGCGGGGAAATCGCTAACTCCGGAGCCAGAAAAGCTAGAAAGCTGGAATTTTTGAGATTTTGTTAACTGTCACATAGAACTAAAAGGTTTCAAATTCAGCATCTGCGTATGCGTGGTTTTCGCGTACGGACCCCGTGAAACTTTTTGGCAAGGAAATAGCTAACTCGGGAACCAGAAAAGCTGGGGAGCTGAAATCTTCAGGGAATGTTCCCAGCACAAGTACAATTTATGATTATCAAATTCAACCCTTCAATGCGTGTGGTACTCAAGTACAGCCCCGTGAAATTTTTTGTCAGAAAAATTATTAACTCAGCAGCCAGAAAATTTGCAAAGCTTAAATTTCAACGGAATGTCCCCTGTCCAAATACTGCATAGACAATTAGCTTCCTTGACTTCGAAGACCAGTACATCACACAGTGGGTTCCGAGCGATCTCATTACAGTACGAAATATTGCAAAAACGCGTGATCGCACGGGCCCACCCGGTGTGCGTCGCTAATGATTTCCTACGTTCCACACTATTTTCTTCAGTACATCCAGCGTCCCGAAAGGCACATTTCACCTACGCTATTGATAAACAAAACACAAATGGCATGCATTGTACGCGTTGCCAGGCCGTTGATTTCGTCCAAAACGAGTCGCTGTCGTTTGTACAGGTTAGCTCTTTCCCGTTATTGCATCGTTGTTGCACACAACAAACAACAGCTATGTTAGCACGTCTCTGTTATTATCTCTTAGGTATAAAACGAATAACGTTGTGTGAGGAAGTTAAAAATAACCTTTTCACAAAGTACACACTGGCATAACTTCTGCATCCAGGTTTTTTGCATCCAGAGCTACCAAGCTGAAACACCCGGACAGAAAGACATACACACACACACACACACACACACACATGCACACTTGGGTATAAACGCGCACACAAACACATATGAACATGAAAGCACACATGTACGAACGCAAACACACACACACAAACATACACCTTGGATCGTCACAATATGTGTTTTTGCTGACTGTTGTGGCGCTGCACCGCAAAAAGGTATGAAAAAGGGGTAACAATCCATCTTCGCTTAATACGTATGGTTCTGCACTGCACGTCTATGTACTGTCTTCGAAGGCGTGCAGTACAGAACGACGTGAGCGCGAAGCTTGTTTGCTGGCTCATATTTCCTAGCCAGTGCATTATAAGAATGAATAAAAGGTTATTGCAGAGCATTAGCGAGTGGTTTTAATCCTGAAGATGGAACGTGTTCGGTGTTGCTGGTCGACTATGGACAGCGTGTCACTTGCCAGTGCTTTGCAGTCTACGATATCCATGAACAGGTGTGCAAGCTCGAACTCGTAGACGTCTTTTAAGTTGCCTTATCAACTACCATGGAAAATTTTTAAAAAAAAAAGGTTTTAAAAATGTTCTCATTTCAAATTTTTAACCATCTCTTTTTTGATTACTTTCATTTTTGTCTGCTTCCCCTATTTTCTCTTAGATCGTTCAATTTCTTTAATGCACTTTTGACGCCACCATTAGCTTGCTTGCAAGCAGCATCCGAAAGAAATAGGACAGCCTTGTCTGCGGGTGATTGCTCTTAGCGCGTGCTATCTTTGAGTTACTTCCCAAATGCTTCAGCGGAAAGGGCTTTAACTTCTGTTTTGACATCACTTCTTAAATCCTGCGTGCTTGAGCCTCACAAATAGATTTTTTTGCACACTGAGTTTTGCTTGTTCCTTCATTCTGCTGTAAACTAGAACTACAATTTGCAGTGCCTTCTTTGGGCATTATCTTCGTTTTTCAGCCATCAGCTGTACTGAGCATACCGGTAGCAGCATTCAAGTTCGCCATCAGACGTCAACACGCCGATGGATTACAAAGT